AAATGTTTCCACATTTTTTTCCAGTTAGGCTCACTGTTTCACTTCTGGAAAATATTGTGTAATTACTTCCTGATGTTGTTAAAAAACCCACAAATTCTCCAGAGATCTGGTTGCTTCTACTTTGTTCTACTGGATCATGTTTCATTTGATTTTTCATTTTATTAATTTGAGATCTTTTTAATAGTGTAGAAGTATGAGTTAAAAAAAAAAAAAAAAGTGCTATCTTGAAGTAGTATCTTAAAAGGTTAAATACCTGTTTTGTGAACTAGACACAGAGAAGAAAGTAACAGTTGGCAAGAGAAAATGGGTAATGATGCATGACTCAAACTTAGAACAAAATGTAGAGCCTGAACTACAAATTAGCTAATGTTTCTGTGCTTCACCATTAAATCATTGACCTCTGTTTCCATTCCTCAAAATATATACATGACACCAGTAAAAATCCTGTATGGAAAATTAGATCTATGATCTGTTATTCTTATGGAGGAAATACAAACCATGGTCTGATTACCCAGTTGTTTCCATTGAACTTTATAGTAGCTTTTAGCAGGTCAGTTATCTCTGTGGATGTCCCCCATAGAGTGGGCTGGAGCACTATCCATCGGGGAAACGGCTCCTCTGCTCTTGGGGGTACACAAAACCTTCTCAGGTTTCTCAACTTTGCTGTGACAATTGCTAAGGACAGGGATACGGCATTAGGGACCACCTCTTTATCTTCTGGCCTTGCTGGAAAAGAAGCAAAGAAGCCAATGTGGCAGCAAGTTTCCTCTGGTTCTGCTTCTAGTGGAAGTCTGACCCAAGACAAAACCAGAATCTCTGAAATACTGTACTTGTTTTATGTGCCTCTCCGAAGGAGCAAGACTCTTATTCTGCAGTCTATACTGCTACTCTATTTTAAAATTAAGTTTTCTATGACACTTCATAAAAATATCAGCCATCCTACTTAATTTACTTGAAAGGCAAAACCTTACCCCAAAGTGTTTGAACTCTGATGGAAAACTGAGGGACAATTGCTAGTTTCACCAACTGTGTTAAGATTGTCTTTAACCTTTTTTTAGCAGAAATAATATACATTTTTTTGGTTTTGGGTTGTTTTACTTAAAGGAACACAATTAAATTATTCTATCCTGTAGTTTAATCCATACAGTATGTTACAGGCCTTTTTTTTTATTGGGATGGCTGCTCTTCTCAGCACTTCAATGAAAATCTAAGCTGTGCGTCTGCTTTGTCCAAGTTTGTGGAGACAAGGGCATTTGTCAGCTGTCAGGGCTAGGAGGCAGAGAGCAGGGAAAAGCCAACTTCAGTGCAGAATACCATCTTTCAGAGGACTATTAACAGAAAATTACTAGAATTATTCCTTTATATCACAAAAAGAAATCGTGATCGACCTCCTGAAATACTTTTGGCTATTCAAATTCCATGTATAGCTATGGGTTTATTTGGATATAGCTCAGAGTAATTTGTGCAAAGTGTTACTTAAACTGTAGAGCCGACAGTAATTTTGGAGATGGTAAGCTTTTCTGATCGACCAAAAACTCTTAGTACCAACAGTCTTCATTGATTTTTTAAAAACAGTGGCATCTTTTGCAGAATGTATTAGGACAACAGCAAACAGATCTGTACAAGCAACAGGTCAGAAAATAGTATTTTTGAAGCTACCTGACATCATGAGGATCTTATTTTACAGATATGCTTCAACTGCTGTGGGTTGTTGACAGAGCATTATTACGCTATTTAGCATTCTTAGTTACGATTTCATACTTAATTTGCTGAATTTTTCAGCATTTTAAAAAACACGCTAATGAGATTCATTTCAGTAGTAAATCAGAGTGGAGAAGTGGGTTTGCATTGCTTACTATTTTTTTTTTTCACACATCAACCTTTTCAGCCATCATATTTCTCAATATTCTTAACTCTTTTCTACCTCTACTATTCATCACTCGGACTAATCTCTCTGGGGAAACCTGCTCGCTGCTTAACCTTTCACCCCAGTGCTAAACAGCTAATTTCTCTTTTCTAGCTACTGATCCAGGCAGCAGGTTAAACTTGTTTTTTGTTTTTAAAGGCAAGAGAGGTGTGTGGTAGAAGGAAGCACAGTAGGTTTACAATGTGTAGAAGGATAATGCTCTTGTCATAAATGTCTGCAAACCTTTCACGTATCAACAATGGAACTAAAGTTAGTTACAGTTAAACTTCAGTATTAGGACTTGGAGTGTTCCAGTACAAGGAAATTACTCATCTCAACCCTTGTTAAAGGATATTTTTATATGCCCTTTTAATGTCCAAAGCTAGAAACCAGGCATTTAGTGCTAATATTTGATTTACAGCATGATCTTTTTAACTGGGTGAGAGGGTACTTCATCAGCTTAATTTTTTTAGAACAGTTTAAATTAAATACAGATGAATTGTACGTGTTATGCTATTAGCTTTTCTGAAAGACTTCTAAAGGTCACTGAAAACATAACAGGTGAGGACATTTGTTAGTTTACTATTTTTAGCCTCGAGTGAATATTTTTTTTTCTGTTTTTCTTCTTTCCAGCTTCATAGCAGTGGAGAACATAGACAGCTATTGTGTTCTCATTTCATGTAAAGCTGTTTATTTCCTGAAGAGCAGCGATTACACAGACCGTGACGCCATCTTCCTAGAAGTCAAGTACGACGATCTCTACCACTGCCTGGTTTCTAAAGACCACGGGAACGTGTACATACAGCTGACGAAGAAAGCTGTTAATACAAGCAGCGGTGTGGCAATGCCAGGCCCATCCCAACACAAACCAATGGTAAGGACCCAGCACCTATTGCTTCATTCACGCAGGGGTTTCTTTTCCCCTTTATGCTGAAAGTGTTTGTGGTCATTAGTGTTTGGTTTCCTGTGCTGCATAACAATGAAAACTTTGTTCTGTCAGCAGTGAAAACAGCTGCTGCTGAAAAGGTTGAGGTGACAACGGGACTGCTCCCTAAACTCCTAAGAAAAGTTGAAAGCAAAATCTAAAATATTCCTACAGGCAGAAATGTTACAGTAGGAAATGTATATTTACCTGAGAAAGGCTTTTAACTTTAATTTATGTATATGAAACTTAAGTACTTTGCTGTCTATTTACTCTAGTCTTCTCCTCTTATACGTAGTAATTTTTTTTACTGCAAAATGTCTGAGATTGGAAAGAGTGTTTATGTCATGCCTGTACAAGTTAATCGGAACTCTCACTTCTAAAACCCATTACAGGGTTTTTTTCTTCATTACAGTAGTTGCTCAGGGGTCTGTTTTACAGGCAAGGTTACAGGCTCACCCCTGACCCGTCAGTTTACATTCCAAACAGACAAGCCAGATAAAAGGTAGGAGGGGAAGCAAAGGAAATAACTTCAAATATTGCAAGATGTTTCTGCGCTCATCCTAAAATACCTATCTCTATTTACCTGTCTCTCCCTCCCGCACTCCTTCATTACTTCAGCCTCAATACTGAGAAGGAATCTCCACTGAAACATTTCTGTTCCTTACAAGGGACTTCAAACCTAACCCCTTCAGTTACTGAAGTAATAAAAAAATAAATATATTCTGCTTTAGATGACAGTAGTACCACATTAAGAAAAATCACGTTTCTCTTTGCAGGTGAAAGTGAAATCTGAAGATATTGCAGTAAAGCTATCTCAAGAAATAAACTATGCAAAGAGCCTTTATTACGAACAACAGCTTATGTTAAGACTCAATGAAAATCAAGAACAATTAGAGCTGGACTCTTAAAACCTCTTTCTTACTGCCAGCGTGAACTGCAAGAATCAGTCTGGAGCCGGGGTGTTCTGTGACTGCAAAAAATACTACATGGGAAGGAAAATGTATGATTTTAGTATTTAGCTAAATGGAATCATTGTGCATAAGAAAACAAGTGAGGTGGGCTTTTTTTTTTTTTTAAGCATTAGTTGTATAACAAAGATATAGTTGAAATGCATTTGGTTCTGGGAGAAGCCCTGTATTTTGCTAACATGTATATATGTAAAAGTGTTTCATGTAAATAAGAAAGTACAGACCAGGGTGTTGGTACAGAAGTCTGTTTACTGTGTAAAGAAATTAAAGGAGCTATACTGAGTCTTACTGCACTACCTGAAAATAGCTATTCTCTCTCTTTTTTTCTTCAGAAAACTAATTTTTCACAGTGCAGGAATGTAGATAAACATTAAAAAAATAAAAATTAAAAGTTAATTGCAGCTGTTGAAGCACAGGTGTCCTGCAGTTTGGAGCTTTAACACTGTGATTAGGGTGCATTGTTTGGGGTTGGTTGTTGGGTATTTTGGGTTTTTTTTTCTTAAATCACAAGTACCGCTACATGCACATATTCCTAGTGTTCCCCTGAAATTTCATCCTTGCTTTTAACCAAAAAAGAAAAAAAAAAAAAGAATTTTGTTAAATACTGCAGTGAGGACTCACTAATTCACCTTTTCAATAAGCTAGAAAGCTGATTCTGTTTTGAATACAGCACTCAAACTTAGCAAAGTCTGCACCTCTGAAGACCCCTGCTTCTAAGTTGTTTTTAAAAGAGTTCAAGTGAGCAGTCTTGGAAATCAAAGCTTTAACTTCACTTTTTTTCCTCCACTGGGACTGAGTAAGTGTATATAGTTGGCCGGTTTGTGTGCAATTCTGTTAGCCTTGGCAATGCCAGGTGGGGGGAGAAGAAATCATCACATCATTTGTTTTCATCACAACCTCTTCAAAATTAAACTTTTTGGAATAATAAAAATAACATGTTTTCTCAAATGTTGTACATTAAATCAGCATTTGTCTCATCAACTTTAACCAAACTGAAGACTGAGGAGTGAGTGTACTCACTTACCTTCATTCACGGCGACGAGGAACTCTCCTCCACCGCGCTGAACGCTGCATGCACGATGGCACTTTGCTGTGCAAGGTTCAAGTGTGAATATACACCTTTCCTAAAAGTGCTGAGTAACCTAAATGCTAGAAGTGTTATTTCATAAACCTTTGACTCCAAGGAAGGAGCCCACTAAAGCTTTATTTTCAACTTAGTTTACCTTTTAATATCTTTTCATAAAGGCATACAGGAATATTTTTAAACAGAAGGTTAGAATTAAACCGATTCTCAACTGCTGTACAGCAAAAGGCAAAGGGTTATTGTATAAGGAGAAAATGTGGCATCAGTAGATGTGTGTATGGTCTCTGACTGGAAATCAAAATCCACAGAGGTCCATTACGCAAATGAAACTGATTTAATGCATCGCTTTTGTATATTTCTCTGTATAATTTTTAAGTAAAATAAGGAATTCAACAAGTGCATCGGCTCAACGGTGCTTTAACACGTCAGTCCTGTTGGACTCTGCTGCTGAGACTCCCTGCTGCTCTCCTCTGTAAAATCCTGTTTTAATGCAGCAAATATCTAGCTGCTAAAGATGGTAAGTAGATGGGGAAGGGAAATAAAAAGTAGTTCACAGCTCTGTGTTGAGAATTTACACGACAGTGGCCTGAATACTTAAGTTTTGTAACCATTATATAAGCAGCTGACACGGAAACATCTAAAAAGTAGTCTGAGTTACCTGAACTCCGGGAGCTAGAGTAAATAATTACTCTAATTTGTGTATTTTTAAATTTCTTTTGGACTGTGCCTAACCTGTTTCTTTGACTGTCAATAATGATTAACCAGAACATTGTTTAAACCTTTGAAAAGTGTAGCTACTAGCCTAGATGGAGCATAACTGGCTTAGGTTATTCCAGTGTGCTGCACTACTCTTCCCAATACAGTGCTCCTCCTCAGCCTGGCGGCTGGAACTGCTCGCTCCTCTAGAGATGAGGCGAAGTTTTTCTCCTAAGGGTACCCCCAGAGTGCTGATTACAAGGAGTGATGTACACACACAGCTGAAAGAAGCATATTGCCTCATTTAGCATTCCAAACCAAATTGAATCAGAACTTTGTGTTTGTAAAAGTGCAAATGATGTTATTTATTGCTGTAACCCAACTATTTTTATAGAATTTCAGAACTCGTACTGTGGACTTCCTATTGCTATTGGCACTACTAACATTATTACTCAGTGAATAAATATAACTTTCAGATTCCAGGAGCTGTACTCAAAAGTAGTTTTCAGAGGATGTGGAGTGTAAGTGCAAGTCTCCAGCTTTCACTCAAATTCTTAAGAACTGAAACACAAGCTGTTAGCAGACAAGACAACTTAATAGTTCCATTTACCAAATTCTGCAGTGTTCTTCAGATTTTGAGCCTTATGAAGACAGTGTGCTTACCAGCCTTAGCCTGGTTTCATGGGAGGAGGTACAACCGCTGCAGCAATGAAAGCAGATTCAGAATCTTCAAATTTCAGAAGCTGGGAAGGAGAAAATTCACTGATGAGAGACAGTAACAGCTTTCTCCCACTGTCTTTAGCACACAGCCAGTATAATTCAGGGAAGACTGCTTTTTCATGCCTCTTGGATCAAGTCTGTATAGAAAGCTATAGTTCAACTTCACACTCTAATAAAGATTAAATAACCCATCAACAATGCAGGCAGTATTTCAAAAGCCCTATAACCCATGCAGAGGTATGCTGAGGTAGGAATACTTCACTTCAGCCTGTTAGCTTTGATTTTAACTATATTTGCTGAGAACTTGTTCTCTGCATACTCTGACCAACTTTGTTTTCTTGCTGGAGTTGCTGTTGAAGAAACATAAAATAAAGATTATTGACATAAGAGATATTTCACCATCATTCTGGAGAAGTGTAATAAATTGATTCCACCCACACTCTTCATGTGCCCTTGCTGGCAAAACTATTAATTATGTGCAGGAACAGAAAATTACTGTAGAGGACAGGAATGAATAGTTCTCTTAGACACATGCCTCTTGAGTGGCAGAACAGCTCTCAAGAGTGTTTGAGGTAAAACCTGGACAGCTGCCTGGAGTGCTGGTTGTCACTGCAGGTCAAACACACACTTACACTGCATTTCTCTGACTTGGATTCTCAGATAATCTGCATTTCAGATGGTCTAATTTTCCAAAAGTCATTTAAGAGTGGGAAATCTAAATGCCAAGCTATTTAAACCTCAAAATAAAAAAGCACATATTTTATAATAAAATTCAGACAGCTTTCTTACACGACTGGATGACCAGCACAGCTGATAAATGCTTTTCTGCTACAGTAATGCCTCACAGTACGTCACCTACCCGAGCTATACAATGCCAGAGTTCAGTCAAGCAATATACTTTAAAAAAAAAAATACTGCACTTCCGGTATTAATATATCTTTATGTGGAAAAAAAATGTATCCTAATATTTCTAACACTTATCCAGACCCATGTGTTCTGCTGTCACTAAAATAAGACAGACTTGTGACTGCATTAGGTAAGCAAGTTTTTAATGTGCAAGATATGCAGAAGAACACAGATGGCAATGTCATTTTAGTCTAGAAGCAATTCTGGACAACCAGAACTACAAAAGTCCTTTCTGTTCTGACCTAAATCCACAGCTGTGGCTGCAAACTTCCATTTTGCTGCCCTGTATCTGACAAAGCAATCAAAACATGGAGAATTTTTGGTTTTTTTGATCATATTGTTTTAAGCTCTATGATATAGGTAACAGGAATGTGACAAGGCCACTAAGAAACCCTTTTTTCTTTTCTTTTTTCCCTGAGGAAACAGTATTACTGGTAAACAACCTGGTAACACAAAAGATACAGGGAAAGTGCATAATATGGCTGCTAAAAGAGGCAAACCCCACACCCCTCACCAATACATGACTTTGTAACCACCTGCAATTCCTAGAGACAGTCCTCAGCTGGTAGCAAGATCTAGCACAGGTTGGAGGAGCAGGTAAGGTAAGGCTGTCACTGGAAGGAGGAAAATTAATCACCTTCTGAAGTCATAGAATAAACTGGGGAAAAAAAATTAGTAACTGTTAGACAGTACTCAAACATACACTTACGCATCTTACTATGGTATGATCAGGCTGAAGCAGGCTTCTTGTTACAGTCATTACTGGATCATAAACAATTCTGTTACCTACTTAATCATAGCCATTTATAAATAAAGTCTAAGCAGTGAAACAGGAAATACAAAATGAGGTATGCCTGAAACGAGGTACAGTGTGAAAGATGTGAACAACATCCTTCCCTTTCTTCTGCTCCTCAACAAATTTCCAATAAATCAGCTAGATGGTACTATCGGAACAGCTTACATTGTGAATGCTGTTTACCAAAAAAAGTGCAGTGCTTACATTTTTGTGGAGAGACTATAAGTAGCTAAATGGTCCCCATCTAAAAACAGGACAATAATCATAACATTTCCTTATGACAAGGAGGCTTTGATCTGTTTGCTACCCTGTATCCTAGACTCCATGATGGTTTTCAGCATTTATCTGTTTTTCTCATCAATAGAATACTTACTATCTAGAATACGAGGCCAACTATATATATTTTTAACTTTTTTTTTTCTCTGTAACACAACGTAGCACTGACCTGTTTCCTACAGTGCACACATCACTAGATGACTCCTCCTCTAGGAATAACCTTGCTTGCTCTGCTTCTCTTCTTAGAAGAACATTCCTCTATTTGCTAATCAGAATGATTTCACCTCTGGCACCTGGGTCTGAAAAAGCAGGTTTCAAGGAGTATACTCGCTTCAGGTTACAGGCTGCTGCAAAGATAGTAACAAACAAACAAAATAACACCCACATCAAAACACATTTTAATTAAGTCAGCAGTTGCTCAAAATCCACTTATACAGCTTGGTTTCTTACAAAGAATAACACTCTCTGTGTGTGCTTATATACTTCTTTAATACCCACCCCACCCCAAATGTATGTATATACATCCGTACTCCTACTTTTTTTTATTTTTAAACTTATCTTGAAGAGTGATGGCCATATTCCAAATTATTCTTAAGAGGATAGTTGTTAACAAAGAAGGAACACAGTCTTATTTTTCCTGGGGTGGGGGGGAAGACACACAATAAAACCATGCCCAGAGCTTTGGATTCCAGCCTGGAGTTCTGTAAAATTCAGCCTTGATAGTAGGCTCTTAACCAGTTATGACACTTAGTTTTATCAAATGTAGGGCTAGGACCAACACACTTCCAATTCCCCACTTGTATCATTAGTTCAACTTTATTACAGCCTATTTATTACAGCCTACTGGTAGTTGGTCCAATGCTCTGTCAGCCTTAAAAAGGGAACTGGGACAGCACAAAGCCATCTGCCTCAATAATAACCATAAAGTTACCTAGCTGAGAAAATGTTTCATTAACAGAGGACACGGATCAGTTTGACTGAACTGTATGCTGTTCATAGCTCTCTATCAGCAGATTTTCTGAAGTGGGAGAATGTGAAGAAAAAACCCAGCACCAGATGTGTATATAAGGCTGGGTTCTTGCACTGTGACTGGCTTCGCACGTGTCTCATAGATGCAAGAGTCCAGTCTTAATCACATGAAAGAACACTTGCCAAAAGGGAAAAAAAAAAAAAAAAAAAAGGTAAAAAAAAAAAACCACTACAAGACAGGAGATTCCTGGAAAAATATTTCCTTTGGAAACAAGCGGAGAAATCCTTCACAATAACAAATAAAATGTTTGGTGCTATTTCTTGGGTCTTCTCTTCAGAATATTATAACTCAAACACAATAAATACTGCCTTACAAAAGCCTACTGCGAGGCTTCTGAAGCTGCCTAAAATCTTCCAGCTTTATTTCTGTTAACTTAGCTAGGCACCAGTCCAAGTATAATAGCTACTGAAAAATAAACATTAAACCATCAGTAAATGTCTCCACAATTGTACTGTGTTGCTATGCTGTTCATATCCAGGATTTCAGTGCCTAATCTGGTTTCATTCACTGTAAACTAACCCAGTGTCAAATCTTACGATTCACAGGCTCTCTGTCTGCTACGGTATTCTCCATTAG